AACCATGGTGTTAGCAGTTTGTGAGCCTTCTGAGTGAGGATCTCCTGTCTGCACCAGGCACACGGAGGGTGGAGACTCAACCTACTAGCATTTTGTAAAGTTATTTTAGAAGAAGAATGAGAAAAATGTCTTGAAATATTGATTCTGTCACATTTGAAAGTGATGTGTTTTATCTAATCATCTAGTTTTTGAGTCCTTCATTATCTGCAGGACCTTGAGCACTGGACCACCTTTCTACAGCTCAGCACTAGGTAGGGATATGATCAGCCAGCAATTACTTTTCCTGCACTCACCATCCCTTTGTGGAGGTGCTCCTTATCTCATTCTTTCTGCATATCTATCTTATGTAGGCTACATTCTTCTTTTTAATTATTATTATAGTAATGCTTTCTGGGAAATTCTCAGCACATATGTATGTAACTGGTAAAGATCTATTTTTTCCTAGTAGATTGTCAGCCTCAGAAGGACTTGCAATTTTTATTTATTTTTAACAAGGTCTTTTTCCCAGTGTTTGGAAAAGTCCCTGACACATAATAGGGACACTGGAATCAGGGAAAGACAATGTTTATGACCATATTTCCAGAGTCACATAAGTGTTTAGCACATAGTGGATGCTAACTAAATAACTGTGATTTCATTCTCAGCTTCTTCCTGGTTTTAGTTTCTTTATCAGAAATCTTCTTGTTATATTTATTTTCTATACGTGCACTTTCAAGCTCTATCATGAGGACAAGCCTAACAATTCTGAAGACAAAAGAATCATTTCTTTGCTAACTTTTGACACAAGACTTAGAGATGAAATATTCCTTGAATAATAATAATAATAGTAATAATTCAACTGACATACCGTGAGACAATGTTTGACAAAGGATGCTAAAAAGAAAATGGTAGAAAACAGAAAATCATGACATAGCGAGAATATACAGTAGAGTAGAATGGGGAACTCCAATGTTCTCTACAGACAGATTTTGCAATGCATTGCAAAATAATTGAAAAAAAAAAAAGCTGGTTTAGGGGCTGGGGATTTAGCTCAGTTGCACAGCACCTGCCTAGCAAGCACAAGGTCATGAATTCAATTCCCGGTACCAGAAGAAAAACAAAAAAACAAAAACAAAAACAAAACAAAGAAAACTGGTTTATTTACCAAGTAGTTGTACAAAAAATAAAAGTTTGTCATAACCAACCCTCTATTTTTCTTCCTTCTATTATTTAAATATTTTGCTGTTCCATTTATTTATTTAACTATTGAAATTTAATAATTTTGATATAAAATTAACAATTCTCACAAGCATTCTTTATGGCAGCTGTGTATTCTGGCAAAAGTAATATGCATTTTAATATAATTCCACATATAGATTCAAAGAATTCAAAGAATTCAACGTATAGATATACAATAAGATTTTTATAAAAATTATATTAGAATATTTCTGAATATTTTAAGCAAAATATAAATGTGTTAGTAATAAATTTGGCTGTGGATGTTATTGTATGCCTGTAATCTTAGCTACTCAGGAGGCTGAGGCAGGAGGACTGCAAATTTAGGACTAACTGGGCAATTTAAGGAGACCTTATCTCAAAATAAAAATAGAAATAAGAATAGAAAGTCTGTGGATGATTCTGAGTGGTCCCAATATACCATGTTACAATATAATAGTGATGACAATAATACATTTGAGTGACATATTCTTCTATGAGTAATTCAGAATGTTAGGAAGAAATTCAAGTCAATATTCATTTATTTGATGATATTCCATAAACTAATGTCAAACAGCAGATTTTGGAAACATTTCTAACTGTACGCAACATTTTTCAATGCATTCATAGTTAAGTATTGCAATGTACAGTTTCATATTTTATTATGTTTCAGTCACATTAATTTTCTTTCCAGGATTGAAATGATTTCATTACATTAGGTGAGACTGAGTGATCTGTTTGCCAACTGATTTATTTATTTATTTATTTTTGTTCTGGAAATCCGACTCAGGACCTCACACTTGCCAGGTGGGTTCTGTGTTGCTGAGCTGTATTTCTGGCAACTGCATTATTTTTAAGCATGAAATCAGACTGATAATTATTTCCATTTTTAAACATCACCTGTGATATCAGTCTATTTTAGTTTATACTTCTCTGATGATTTAGTATTTTTTTGTCTCACCTAGAAATATTGTAGTTCTAATATCTTGCTAGGATAGTGCTAATTTAATATAACTCATTGGCTTTGTGTGATAACATCATTCCAAAATTCTGTAATTCTTATATTACCATAACCAGTAAGGCTGTATTGCAATTATGTCTTCTAGGCCACATGTGTATCTGTTTTCTTAGCTTATTTGCATCATATATTTGACAAATGCCTCAGTTTGGAGCACATTTTGAGCCCTCTTTTTCATCAGTTACAGTACATAAACCCTTGGCTTCTTTCTCCACCTCGTTAATAGGTGTAACAGCTAATTCAAAGTAGTCTTTGCTGTTATTGGTACAGAATTATACTTATTAATTAATTTTACAAAACAAAACAACAAATATTTATGCTTGGAAATGTAAACATTCTTCCTAGAAGAAGTTAACGTCTATGTATGTTAATATAGATGTCATAATACCTTTGCTGAAGTCTACTAATTAATAAACAGAGCTTAAAGTATTAATATTATGTAAATAATATCCTTTGAGTCATTGTGAATTCATGGAGTTTCATCCACTCAAGCAATTCCAGTTAATCTTCATAAGAAAATAAGTTATTTTTGTACTCAAGTCATTTAAATTTATCCTTTGAGTCTTGCTGCATTAACCACTTTATATTTTACCTGTGATAAAGATTGTGTCTTTGTCACACACACTTACACTTCTTTTGTCTTAGCAAGCTTGCTTTCTATCACCTAGGAATATCCCAGAACTTGATTACAGCTCTATCAGGGCTTCAACACCAAACCGAGGAATGATACAGCTTTTGCTCCTCGTTCACATAATCTTAACTTTGGCTTAGACAAGGCTCACATTGCTGATAGGATGTTCCAGAGCAATTTCCTCTGTGTTTTTGAAATCATAATTGTTTTCTGAGAATGACACAATGTGCCAGATCTCTTCTTTTTTCCTGCTCTAACCAGGATTTATATATGTTCTAAAATCCTAGATTTTTTTAAAGTAAGAAAATCCATGACTTTTGGTAAAAGTCTAGTTTTTAGGCTGAAAATGAAAACTATTGAGAATGTAGAGATGCTTATTGTGGTGATACTGCTGAAAAAATACATATATGAACAAACATAATTTTATATGTTCTCACCTCCAGGTTAATATGGTAAAGTAGTATTTTATACAAGATTACTATATATTTATCTATCTAGATATATATTTAAAATAATATTATATAACATATTTTAAGAAAGAATACAAAGAAAGTTCTGTATTCTGAAATTTATACTTTAAGTAGGACCTCTAAACTGCTAGTTGTCTTAGTTAGCTTGGGCTACTGTAACATAGCACCACATACTGTGTGAAAAAACACATTCATTTCTCACAACTGTGGATGCTGAAAATCTAAGATCAGGGTGCCAGCATGGTCAGGTTATGGTAGAGCCCTCTTCTTGGCTGGTAGATGACCATGTTCATGCTGTATATTCACATGCTGTCTTGGTTATTTTTTGTTGTTGTTGAGACAAATATTTAACGCCAAAAATTAAGGAAGGAAAGGTTTATTTAGCTTACAGTTTGTAGAGGTTTTAGTTTATATTTGGCTGGCTCTGAGGCAGAGTGGCACATGTACCAAATTTTGTCTTGATTATTTTTTTTTATTGTTGAGACAAAATATTTAATGCCCCAAATTTAAAAATGAAATTTATTTAACTTATGTTAATAGAGGTTATAGTTTATATTTGGCTGGCTCTGAGGCAGAGTAACACATGGCAGAGGGCAAATGTTTATAGAGGCAAAAAATAGCAAAACAACAAGAGCAAAAAAAAGTGACAGAGCTAATAAGCCTTTTTTTAAAAATATATTCTAAACAGGCTGCCCCCACCCAGGGGGCATATAGCACTCACATAATCTCCATGCCTTCCTCTTACACAAGCTCAAGATATATGCAAAATAAAAACCCTGGCCCCCTGCTCAGTCACTTATTTAACTTTTTAAACTTTTTACATTGACACAATAAACAACATCTTAGAACAAAAAGAGCATGTCTTTTTTGCCCCAGGATATAAAACTATTAAGTTACTTAGTTAAGTTTTTAGACTCTGCAAGTTAACACAATATATCAACCATAACATATGCCAAAATGGAACAGTAGGGTGAGAACAAACACTTCCATCACTTTTTGTAAGGGAATTAATTCCATCAGGAAGAACTCATGATTATCATTTCAGCTAAAACTAATTACCTCTCAAAGGTTCCATGTAGAAACACCATTATGTAGGTCATTAGCACTTCAACAAGTACATTTTGGAGAGACATAGATGTTCACTCCATAATGCTATGATATATGAAGCCGGGGGCACTGAGGATGTCTTTACCACAGAATCTTACATTTTCTTTATCTCTGCCTCAACAAAGCTATTTTGTCTCACATAAGAAGATTTGGAATCTAATTAACAGCTCTGCCACCTCTTCCTCAAAAGCCTTTAATCAAAGTTTTTTGTGTCTTTACATACAAACTGTACACTAAAGCTTTTGTTCTCTATTTATATTGTCTTTTGCCACATATATGCAACATCTCACTCGCTCAAAGAACTTTCTAGGACAGAGTTTGGCTCAAACATAACCTTTAAAAATATCCAAAAAACCAGAAAGATGAGATGTTAGCTAACTTTTGATTAGGCATAACGACTTTTTTCATTGTATTGCTAAATATTTTATCTGAAAAAAATTGAATTATTTCATATGGCACATGAGGATCTCAACATATTTATGGGACTTGTACTATTTTGGGTGTTGCTTTCTCAACTTCCTTTTTGCTTTGCGTCATCTGCTGGACTGAATCAAAGGAAACCCGTCTTTGGAAAGATTTACTTTAAGCAAACTTTTGTTCTGGGAACTGCCTAATACCACAAAAATGGGTAACATTGGAGTACAGCGTCAAGTATTTCTGAATATACTCCTCTATCCACTTAGACACACACCCTGGGGAAAAATAGAAGAGGTTCCTGGTCTTCTCAATCACTGGACAAGAAGACCATAAACACACAATGCAGCTAGCAGAGCCTCAGAGAAAAAGTGAGTATGCTTTTTCTCTCCTTGTCATTTTAAGCAAATGGCTTCATGGCTAAGATTTTGAACTGTGAGTGTATAATAGTTCTGAATATTGAATATTCTGGTGATAGGAAGGAAGAGGTGGAAGAAAATAAGGATAACCTTGGAGTAGGGGAAGGCATAGATTGTTTCAAATAACAGGTAACAGAAACTTCTTTATAAAATGTAGATTGTACCAATAGAGGAGATAAAGCAGGGAAAGAAAAAGGGTGGAAAGGAAGGGGATCCTTGGGGAACATTCTTTTGAAAGGGGAGAGAGAGAGAAAGAAAATAGAGAAAACAACCAACTGTAGGATTAGGATGTGTCAGAGGCTCTCACTATATGGTTTTATGTTTGACTGACGGTATTCCAAAGGAGTTACAGTGCAGGGGATTTAGC